CTAAGGCCCATAATAAAATTCTTTCATCAACAATAAAAAATATAAATTTAAAAAAAACAAAACAAAACATTGCCAACAAAGAAAAGCCCAGGTCCTGATGGCTTCACTGCTAGATTCTACAAGACATTTACAGAAGAACTATTGCAATTACTCTTTAAACTTTTCAATGTATATGAAAGGGAAGTGTTATTTCCAAATTCATTGGTGCCAGGGAAAGACCCAATCAAAAATATACTATAGGCTAATTGCCCTAATGAACACAGATGCAAAAATCCTCAATAAGATACTGGCAAACAAAATACACAGGGTCTTCAAAAATATCATACACTCTGACCAAGCTGGATTTATCCCAGGGATGCAAGGATGGTTTGACATATGTAAATCAATAAATGTAATACACTATATTAACCAAGTCAAGGATAAAAAAACATATGATCATCTCAATAGATGCCGAAAAAGCATTTGACAAAATTCAACACCCATTCATGATAAAAATGCTACAGAAAATTAGAATAGATGGCTTTTATCTCAACCTGATAAAGGCTATCTATGAAAAACCAACATCCAATATCATATTAAATGGTCAAAAACCAAAAACGTTCACACTAAAATGAGAAACAACACAAGGATGTCCACTATCACCACACCTATTCAATATGGTTCTGGAAACAGCCACAGCAATTAGACAAGAGAAAGAAATAAAAGGAATAAAGATAGGACAAGAAGAAGTTAAAATTTCATTATTTGCTTATGATATGACACTACATAGAAGACCCAAAAAACTACCAAAAGACTTCTAGACTTAATTGACATAGCTGGATACAAGGTCAACACTCAAAAATCAACAGCCTTCTTGTATACAAATATCAGACTCACAGAGTGAAATTAAGGAAACAATTCCTTTCACAATAGCATCCAAAAGAAAAAAGAAATACGTAGGAATCAGTCTAATGAAGATAGAAGAACTTTACACTGAAAACCAAAGCACCTGAAAAAAAGATCAAAGAGGATATAAGAAAAAGGAAAGACAATCCCTTACTCCTGTGTAGGAGTGAAAATGGCCATATTTCAAAAACTGCTATACAGATTCAATACAATAACTCTTGAAATCCCTACAGTATATTTTACAGAACTAGTGAAAACTATCCAAAAACTCATTAGAACCAGAAGAGACCTAGAATAGCAACAGGCTTTCTAGGCAACAGAGACATGGCAGAGGGTATAACAATCCCCAACTTAAAACTATACTACAAAGCCACTGTATTAAAAACAGCATGGTACTGGCAAAGAAACAGACTGGAGGATCAGTGGAATAGATGAATAGATGAACCAACAACTCCAGACATACTCAGCTACCTCATCTTTCACAAAGGAGCCAACCATCCTCACTGGAGGAAAGATAGCCTTTTTAATGAATGGTGTTAGAAAAACTGGGTTTCAACTCTAGTTAAAACTAGACCCCGGGCCAGATATTTAGCTCAGTGGTGCTGTCGCCTGTCTTGAAAGAACAAAGTCCTGAGTTCAATCCCCAGTACCAAAAAAAAAAACTAGACCTCTATCGTTCACCATGCACTACACTACAACCCAACTGGATTAAAGATCTAAATATCAAAGCAGAAACACTAAACTTGCTCAAAAATAAGTTAGGTAGAACTCTTGAAGACATTGGCATAGGAAAAGACTTTATGAACAAATCTTCAGCAGCATGGAAATTTGCACAAAGAATCAACAACTGGGATTTTATCCTATTAAAAAGTTTCTGCAGTGCAAGAGAAACCACCAATAGAGCTAAGAGACAACCTACAATGCGGAAAAAAATTTTTACCAGCTGTTACTGAGACAAAGGACTACTATCCAGAATATATAAAGAACTAAAAAAAATCAGATCCCCCAAGTATAAAGACCTGATTCAAAATTGCTCAGACAAACAAGTAAAAGCAGAAAATAAATATATGAAAAAATGTTTAACGTCCCTGGTCATTTGAGAGATGCAGATGAAAACACTGAGATTCCACCTCAACTAAGAAAAAATGGCTGCTATCAAGAAAACACCAAAAAAAAAAAAAATGTTGGAGGGGCTGTGGAGAGTTAAAGAAACCCTTCTCCATTGTTGCTGGAAGTGCAGACTGTTGAAACCACTGTGGAAACCAATACAGAGATACCTCAAACAACTAGGATTAGAGGTTCCATTTGACCCAGCTATCCCTCTCCTATATATCTTTCCAAAATAATTAAAAGAATCATACCACAGTGATATAGGTGCACCCATGTTTTTAGCGGCATAGTTTGTAATAAGTAAAATTTGGAAACAGCCCAACTGCCCATCAGGTGGGGACTGGATAAAGAAAATGTGGTTGTTTTATAAAATGGAGGAGTACTACTCAGGCATAAAGAATGAAAAACAAGCTGCCTGTAATCCAGCACTAGGGAGGCTAAGGCAGGAGGATCACTGTGAGTTCAAGACCAGCCTGCACTACATAGTGAGTTCCAGGTAGGTCTCAACTACATAGTGAGACCCTGTCTCAAAAAAAAAAAAGAATGAGAAACAGAGTCATTCACAGAAAAATGGATGCATACTGAGGCCATATTCAAGTGGAATAAATAAGACACACGTGTAAATATCAAATAGTTTCTCTGGTGTAAAAAACCAAAAGTGTAAATAAGATCCAAATTGTATAACTCATAATGGGAAATAGGAAGAAAAGAGCCAAAGGTGTAGGAGAAGTGGGAAGAGTAGGGGAAAGGAAATAAGGGAAAAGAAAAAATATGAGAAAAGGAACAAATGGAAACAAAGTCTTTGGAAATAGGGGAGGGTGAAAAAAATAGGGGAGAGAGGAGAGGGTGAAGGGAGGGCAGGGGTATGGGGAAAAAAATGAGAACCAAGCTCTGTCATGTAAAAGGTACAAGATCCCCATGATGAATGTAACTCTACCATATACTTAAAAAGTACCAATAAACTCAATAAAAAAAAATACCTAGAAATTTCACAACTATTTACGAAGAACTTGAGATCTAGGTTTCAGATTAAATCTACTATTATTATGAATCGTTAGCTCCAGGCCAGCATAAAGCCTAAAAAGTACAGATTATAATTTGACAGTTTCAAAGAATCCTTACAATAGTGCTATTTTTCCTAGGAGCATGAATGTATACTGATATCATTTGAATTCTGTGGCAATAGAACATCATAAGGTTTTTCTACACAAAGTATCTTCAATAACAGCATTTTCATTTGTGTCAATATTTTATGTTCACAAAGAACTATTATATGAGAATTTAAAGACCAAAAAACAATTTGGCAAAGCCAAAAAAGCATTCAAAATTACTTCACTTTTTACAGGAACTGTCAGGAAAATGAAGTTCAAGGTTAAATGCAATGCAAGCCAGTACATAAAATTCAGTCTGTATTGAACTTACTGCTGGGCATTTAAATACAAATAAGACATTACACAGTACCTTTATCTTAAGGAACTTATAATTTAGAAGAAACAGAAATAAAACCTATACTGTAATATAATTAATGTATATCCATTTCTAATATCTCTATACATTAAATTTAGTAAATGAATAATGACACTGAGGGGAAAAAAATTTTTTTGGTACTGAGGTTTGAAGCAAGGGACCTGCAGTATGTTAATCAAGCATTCTAGCACTATACTACATCCTCCAATTCCCACCTCACCCCCTCTTTTTTTTTTGAGACAAGATTTTACTAAGTTACCCAAGCCACCCTCAAATTTGCAATTTTCCTGTCTCAGCTTTCCAAGTAGGTAGGATGAAAGGTATGTGCCACCAGGCCTGGCAAATTTTCACTTTCAGGGAAGACAAATTTAGAAAAATATTAAAGTTAAAATTATTACTGACAATTTAACAAGTAGAACATAAGTGAAACAAAATTGTTTCCAAAGAGAAAATTTCAGAAGTTCACAAGAAACAGAGCTGAAAAAGATAATATTTATCATAAACCTTTAAGAAAACAACTATAAATAATTAATGTATTGAACTCACAAACCAAATATAAACCAGAAGTTACTATTGCATAGTTGGGGGGGGGGTTAAACCAATAAATTTTTCACTGAGATAAAAACTATTCTACAGGCTGAAATCAGAAAATAAAGAGAAGCTTCAGGAATTCAAGCAAATTAAAGATTAAAATTTTAGTAGGATCCTTAGAGTGGTGGCACTCACCTTTAATTCTAGCCAATTACGAAACGGGGGCAGGAGAATTACAAGTTCTAGGCCAGTTTGGGTAACTTAGCAAGACCCTTTCTCAAAACAAAAAATAAGTAACAGGCTGGAATGTAGCTCAATGTAAGACACGGTTCAATAACCAGTACTTCCAAAAAGAAAAAAATCCAGTAGATTTTTTAACTGACCATCCCCTAGCTTTTTCTACAGATTGTTATTTCCAGGCTATACAGGATCCTCTCCTTACTTAAAACAAAGGCAACTTCAGATTTGCATTTCTCTTAAAAGCACACTAAACAAAATTAGCTCATGGAATTCCATTATCTCAAACCGTTTTTGTGAGGAATGCATTCAGCCAACAAGTATTTACTGAGCACTATGTGCCAGGCACAATTCCAGAATGTGAATATAAACACAGTGAATAAGGCTGGATGGATAGATGGATGGAAGATGGAAGAAGAGACAGAACAGAGAAAAGGGAGGAAGAGGATACCAAGGAAATGGATTTCAATTATACCAGACAACTGAACTGGGATACTTATATGAATGAAATAGCCACATTTTCATTCTGTGCCTGCATTCATTTTTCCAAAACTCAAAAATGTTAACCAGTACTTTTGAAACTCATTATTAGCCATGAGTATTGGTTCAAATAGCCATTCCAGACACCAGGAGAGAAAAGTCATACCAGCCATCAGAGCGCAATTTATCACACATTTAGCAGTCAACATATGTGTGGAAAAAGAACAGGGGGGAGCGCATGTGTCATGAGAATAAATACTTATTTTGAGTAAAGTTATCACTGAACATACCTTTCAGATAGAAAACAGCTCTTGTGAGGATTTAGATTTTGACAAGATTCTAGGCTGCCATCAGATGATGAAGAAAGTTGCTCTGATTGCAAGTTGTCTGTGTCATTCAAACTGGCCTCAGTTACAGGTGGGGTCTTTATATATTTTCTTCCTAACTCCGTTCCCAGGACATTCGTCAATATAACTCTGGGGATCCTGTCACACAGAATAACAAACACTGTACTATACTGGAGTTTTCAATAAAAAATGTATTCTAGGAAACTGAATTTTCAAACATGTCATCTTAGCATAAGTCAGTCATCAGAACTATAGCACCCTAAAAATCAACACACGAATACTCAAAATTTTGGATAAACACCATCTTTTTAAATTTGTTTCTAGTGCACTTCTCACAAATTACAGCATTCCATTATGTTTTTAATTGTACTAATGGATGCTATTATTAAGTGCTTATAATTTTAACCATTTTTTCTCAAAAAGGCTTTTTCTTTTCCAATCTTTACTAAAAACACAAATTTTTACAAACCTATTCAAGAAATCTTTGTTCTTCTCATTTAACAGAAAGGTCCTTGATAAGTAATTAAAGAAATGACAGATGCTAAATCTAACAAGAAACAACATTATTCAGATTGTACCTATGGAAAAGGCAGAGATTTCATAAACGAAACAGCAGATATACTGGTGACAATGTACATGCTAATATTATAATAGTACCAAGGAAATAGTCAATAAATTAAATGTTTAAAAAATTAAAGCATATTTTTAAAACTACAAACTTTCTGGTGTCAGTGCTATCTCTATCAAGTGCATTATAGTATATAAAGGCTGGTGTCTTTGGATTTCTATTTTGAACAAATGATACACAATAATGATATCCTTAAGACTATTATACACAAATCCTATGATCTACAAGACCACCAGATTGGGGAGACTACTTATGATCTTTAATTGATTGGCCCAAATCACACTGTGATTTTTTAAACTCATTACTATATATTTTTTGTCTTTGTTTTTACAGCCCTGGGGATATCATCCAGGGCTTTATACATACTAGGGAAGTGCTCTGCCACCCAGCTACATCCCCAGCCCTATATTTTTTAAGAGTGAATGTTTCACTATGTTGCCCCACCTGGTCCACACTATTGGGTTCAACAGAACCTCCTGCCTCAGCCTCCTTTCTACAGATGCCTCAAGAAATCCTTGGGAATATCCACTTCCAGCAAGACCAACATTTTAAAAATGCTACAATGATTAAATAATACATATGATCTAAAAACAAAGGCAAACAGTAAATATAGCTCCCTGAACTTCAAAATTTGTGAAGAAGATAAAAAGTGTACCCTTTGTGAGGAAGGCATAGAGATATTTTCTTCCTCTCTGCATGATTTAAACTGAAAGGATCCTATTTAATATTGTCTGCTTTGTGTATGTGATGCCTGATAAAATGCTCCTAAAAATTCTAGATTTGAAAAGTAGGGATTATGGTGCATGCTTATAATCCCAGCATTCAGAAGGCTAAGTAATGATAAGAGAGAATCTCAAATTCATGGCCAGCCTGAGATACAAACCCGGTTCAAGGACAGCTGAGACTACATAGTGAGATCCTATCTCAAAATGACAATAAGGAGCAGTAAGAAGTTCAAGATTCCTTTCACCTGACCTCAAACTATGTACTACTATGAAATGAATCACTAAAGCAAACTCAGCTATGGTTGAAAGAAAATTCGACTTAGGATCATTTTCTCCAAAAAAATATTTAATGTAATTAAATTTACTTTTCAAAATTTTTATTATTAATACATGCTTACAATACATAATGATTATGTTCATTATGGGGAGTTGGTACATGCATATCACACATCTTAATTATTTTAGTTCCTTTTCTCTTCCCCTCCCTCCATCATTTATTTCCCTTTTTTTTTTGAGACAGGGTCTCGCTATGCAGTTTATTTACTTTTAAAAGATGAAAGAATCTGATATACTAAATTGATAACTCAATTTAAGATTTGATAACTTTTCTATAATCCTCTATTATTAATGAAGTCTAATATTTTTCTCATTTCTTTAAAAATCAAAACACCTGGGCCAGGGATTTACCTCAGCAGTTCCATTCCCTGCCTTGCAAAGGCAAGGACCCAAGTTCAATCCCTGGTACAAAAAAAAACAAAAAAAACTAATATTTAAGTAAAGAGAAAACTGTGGGCATATAAGACACATCAAAGAAATGTCAAGCATCATTTAGCATCCTTTTATGCATATTTAAATAACATAACAAATATGTTTTCAAATGTTGGGTTTCTAAAATAAGTTTTTTCTCTACAATAGAAGAATTAGAATCAACAGACTAGCCCTGTACAAAATGTTGAAAAAAATAATTTAACTGAAAAAGTAGTTCAAATATCAGCAAGAAAAGGGGACCTTTTCAAAATAATTCTCTTCTGAGTAATAAATGATCACACCATTTTGAACATTCTTATTTTGCCGCTACATTTTGAAGAAAGATAAAGCAAAGTGGGAGGGGAGACAGTGCTTAAATGTTGTGATTATGCTCTCCAATCTTGATCAAAATACCATCTTTTTAAAAATATGTGTAACTGAACAGTTTGCAATGACTATTTACAACTCACAGCCATAGCTCCAACACCTTCCATCATCTATGGACAACATATCCAATTTGGGCACCTTAAAGAAACAAACAGCTTTGTGTAACAACCTTGCAGATAACAAATGTATAGAGTGATAAATTCATAAACCTAAACTGCCTTTTGGAGTACTACTGTATAAATTAGTACTGCCATCAATGTTCAGCACTAAGCAGTATTTTTTAAAATTATAAATTTTCACAAAGAATTGAAGTAAATAAAAGTACGTACTTTATCTCTCATACTATCTCACTCTAAAAGGACTGAAGGAAACAAAGTTGTCATCTCATAGAGTCCAACCAATTCATCTTCCTAAGTATGAAATAATACCAGTAAATAATATGAATAAGTATTTAAATTTGTTTACTAATATTATGATATCATACTTCAAAACATCATAAACATACTAATCTAAAGTAGAAACAAGTTTTGAAATGCAGATAGATGTAAAAAAAAAAAGTATGCTGGACTGAAAAGTAGGGCCACTTTTTATGCCTCTACATGGTTATTCTTTCAAATTGTATGTTCCTTCCCCACATAGGAGGAAAGTAAGAATTATATATAAATAATTTAATAAATGGAAGAAAACTTATTAAAACTAATAGAGCTATTAATATACAACTTAACTTCAAGAGCATATCTTTAAGGTAATGAAATTTTAGCTGCTAATAAAATTGCAATATAATAAAAATACTAACTTGGTTTCACTTTGCTGAAATTCTATATTAATACCTTTCTAAAATTGTGCTTTGTGGCAATATCAGAGTTCTCATAAATCTGCTCTTGTCTCAGATGTATAATTCAAAATACACCTTTAAATCAACATCTTAAGCTCTGTAGAGAAAAAACATTTAATATTTAATAATTTCTTAAATTCATAGATTTTCTAAATTTGCTCTTTTCCTTTTATTAGGCGAAGTCTTAAGTAAATGAATTATCACTTAAGTAGAATATTACTAGCTTTAAAATTTTAGGACTATTATAGTGTTCAAAGTTTTACCATCAGAATATTTGGAATATGGAATTCTTTTAAAATTTTAAAAACATACAAACTAAGAAAAAAATGAATAAAATATATTGAGACCATTTAGAGAAATTCCAAATACCAGGAAGTAATTCTTTCCCCCACCAACATCAGGGATCGAACTCAGGACCTTGGGCTTGCGAGGCAGGCACGACATCACTGAGCTAAATCCCTGGCCCTGGAAGTAACTCTTCTTAAAGGAATACTGTTATATTGAATCCATATTTCTCTAAAATTTCTGGTACAGGACTGGGGATTTAGCACAGTGGTTCCACCGCCTGCCTCACAAGGACCCAAATTCGATCCCCAGTACCAAAAAAAAATTATTTTCTGGTACAAATTGATGAACACAAGAGAAAATTTATCTTCTCAAAAGTTTTATATCTGTGTGTAAGAGGATCATTCTTGCCTGATGACCAAGATTTATAAATATCTAGAAATTTTCTCCCAGGAAAGCATGTATACCACAAATGGAGCTAAGACCCACAGGAACGTATGTTATAGCTTCCTTTCAAAAAATCAAAGGCATTCAAAGAATACCTTAACTAATCCCATTATTTTCTAAACATATATATACAATCCATATACTGCTAGTTTGATTTTTTTTTTCCTTTTTTCTTTTGGAGACAGGGTCTCACTATATAGCTCAGGCAAGGCTCAAACTCATGGCAATCCTTCTGCCTCAATTTCCAAGTGCTGGGATAAAAGGAGGGCACCACAACACCTAGCATTTCAAACATTATGGCTGGGCGTGGTGGCACACGCCTGTAATCCCAGCACTTGGGAGGCTGACACAGGAGGATCCCTATGAGTTTGAGACCAGCCTGCACTACATAGTGAGTTCCACGTCAGACTCAACTGCAAAGTGAGACCCTGTCTCAAAAAACCAAAAAAAAAAAAAATTTATTTACCCTTTAGTAAGACTAATTTAAACCCTATGTTTTCTGTTTTTCTCCTAGTATCATCCAGAAACCAAAATGCCAAACTGTCCATACACAAAACTCAAGATATTTGATTCACTAACATTAGATCCCAGAATACAAATAAAATGTCTAATCCGTAGGACTGAATTAGTAATTTTGATTTACATGAAATTTTAAGATAAATTTTTAAAATAAAATTAAAAAGCAAAACTAAAATTTTCTTCCTTTTATGTTTCTGAAATACTTAAAGCCTTGCTAGTTAAATGAAAATAAGCCAAGGATTCATGTCAAATTTAAGCAGACTGAAGAAAATCTAAATTCCCTATTGCAGGCAAACAGCAAGTCTCAGACTACTGTCCAGAGCCATTACCCAAAAATACTCCAACTTCCCTAGTCAAGCCTTTCTCATATCTTTTTTTTTTTGCAGTCACTAAAATTAATTCATTCTGATAGAGGAAAATATATATCAGTCTGAGAATCTGAAGGCATAACTCTGGTGAAAAGCAGTTACTTTCTTTTAGTCAGCAAACATTTAATGAGTATTTATTATGTGCCCAGTACTGTACTAGAAAAAAGAAAATGTAAGAAATAAAATATAGTCCTACCCTTATGAAGTTTACTGTCAGAGAGATAGAGAAACTGAAAAGAACAATACAGTGTGATGAGTGCTATGATAAATGAACAAGCTCTTTATCAAGACAAAGAGAGAACAAATGTAGGCACAAAAGGTATAACCAAGGAAGGGTTTCAAAGGTGATATATGAACTCAATGTTCAAAATTGACATGATCAGTAAAAAGAATAATGAGATTGTTTCCAAGACAACAATGTATAAACAGAATTATACATTCAGTGAGCTACCAATAGTTCCCTATATCTGAAAAACAGAGTAAAATCTAGAGGAATAGACAGACAAAAGGCTAGAGAGAAAAAGGCAAAGGGGAAAATCATTAAGGACCTTATGTTCCAAGACAAGTATTTCAAACTCTATCTTGAAGGTGTATGAAGTCACAGAAAGATATTGAACTAGTGGTGACAAGATCTGACTTTTAGAATGAACAGTTATATAAAAAATATAAGGAATAAACAAAGAAGAAAATGACTCTGCACAGGAAGCCCAATCAAGTTAATGTGATAGTAATACAGACATAAAGTTATTTGGGCTTCAGCTAAGAAACACAATAAAGATGAAGAGATCATTTCAAGATTAATCAGACATGGTAAATGATTATGGTATAAATGATAAAGAAAAAGAGGAGTCAAGGAAAATTTCCAAGTTCTAATGTGTAAAACTGGGTATATGGGCAAGTCATTCACTCAGATAATAAGGGGATATAAAAACAAGAACAAGTCTGATAATAAAGACTGTGTCCTTATTTTGGAATAAGTTTAGGAGACCTGAGCCGTATGAAAAAGGTCTAGTTAGTTGAATTCTAGTACCAAATTGAGATAAGGCAACAAAAAAAATTAGAATTTTAGTGTAACTCTTCACATTATATTTTAAATTCATGAACATGTAATTTAAGTGCCAATAATTCTTGGTGGGAAAAACTATTCTTTAGAGAAAATGGAACACTACATTGTTTAATTCAAAAAGGTCAGTCATAGGATGAGGAGACTGATGAGTTTATTGCACTTGGAGGAGAGTTAGATAAAGTTTCTTTTCATAAGAAGAAAGGCATTACAGTAATTCTTGTCATTAGTCCTTTATTTAGATCTGTCAGCACAGTTAGAAATTAGTTCTCATTCACTGATGAGGAAAGCTGTTAGAATCCAGGAAAATGAAAGCAAGTTGTTTCATAGATTACTGATAGTAAACTGACTTCAAAATTGAGTTTTAGAAAATTAAACTTACATTAACATGGCCTAGTACAGAAAAGCTAAGCTTTTTTTTATGACTTTACCTTTTTAAAAAATAATATAAATACCATGTTTGCATGTACTGATAGAACTATACTTTTGTTTTTTGTTTGTTTGTTTGTTTTGTTTTGAGACACAGGTCTCACTATGTAGTTGAGACTAAACTGGAACTCACTATGTAGCCCAGGTTGTTCTCAAATTCAAAGCGATCCTCCTGCCTCAGCCTCGCGAGTGCTGGAATTACAGGCGAGCGCCACCACGCCTGGCTCTAGAATTATACTTTTATTTTAAAAGTAGCTGTGTTCAAACTTAGCAGTTTTTGTTCAGGTTTTGGATTAAAGCTCTTAATACTGTCATTCAGATTCCAGACCATTATTATCAAAATGCTGTCTATTACCAAGTTATTCTAACTGAAAATGAAATATGTTCTCTCCCCTCAAAAAAAATGTAAGGGTTAAAACTCTAAGTGGAGATATATTTAAAGCTAATTTCTAGATTTCAGCTCCAAATTCCACCTACAATTCCTTTAAAAACACAAAACAAAACTGGTCCTGTTAGTTGTCAAAATTAAAATGAGTATTTATTGTTAAAAACCTGGAGGCGATATTTTAGTATTCTTTAAAAAAAAAAAATGTAGGCAAGGACAAGGGGGAAAAATGAGAACCAAGATACATCACGTAGAGGTACAAGATTCCAATGATGAATGTAACTGTACTGTATACCTAAAATGTACCAATACACTCAATTAAAAAAAAAATTTTAAATGTAAAATATAAGAAATCTCACAAAGTTAAAGATCCAGATAAAATAACATTTAAAAGGTATGTTAAAGATGTAGAGAATTAGAAATACAGGTCAGGGATTTAGCTCAGTGGTGCCACCACCTGCCTCACAAGCACAAGGTCCCGAGTTCATTCCCTGGTACCAAATAATAAAAATAAACTAAGATTTTAAAAATAAATACTTATATACATACAAATGTGTTTATGCATTTATATACACATACATATGTATATACAGTATATGTATATTGATTTTATAAAATAATTCCTACACATGAATTAAAATATTATAAAGGAAGTTAAATGTACTGAGACTTGTTTTTAAATGTAACCCCATGTCTGTCCACTTAAAGAAGTCCAGAACCATCATCTAACTTTGTGAATTAATATTAAAAGCTACAATATTTGCTTTAGAATAGTGCATACTAGTATATGCAGATCTTCTTTAAGATCATTTCCAACTATCTTATTTTTAGAGTATTGGATTTATATGATTTCAAATGTGGTAAGTTAAACAAAACCAATACTGAACAACATACCTTTCAGATAATTTAAGGCTTTGGTGAAGAAGTTCTAATTTTTGACATGTCTCTATGCTGTCAACAGAAGTCGAAGGCAATGAGTCTGATTGCACCTTGTTGGCGTCACATAAATTAGGATGGTTTCTAGGAAGGGTGTTTCTGAATTTTCGTCCTAAATCGGTCCATAGGACATTCGTCAACATAACTTTGAGTTGCCTGTTACACACATAAATAATTAATAAATATGGTACTAAAAGTTGTATAATACATGAATTTACCACAAACTATAACAAATAAATATGTGCAAGAATTCTTAATTTCAGTTCTTCAAGCAATTAAGAGTAGAAATATGGTAAGTAAGAAAACAAAAAATGCTTAGCCATTCCCCAAAATACACAAAGTAAGGCCTATTTCACTTGGACTGGGATTTTCCTCAGAAGTCTCTCATGCACACTACAAATGTGCTCACACACATGTAGCTATGGATTCCTGGCAACCTATCCATGTTTATTCACACCATTAGTGTAAGGACAATATAAATCTGTGCTTCTTATCACAGATATAACCTCTTTCTGCACTAAAAATGTTTTTGAATGTGCTGATTCAGAAAACATTATTAAAACAGTGAGTGAAATAGTATATCATCTATAATCTTAAATCAATGGAGTATTAAGATAGAGATTTAATTTACCTTATTTCTAAAATGGATAAATTTAAAAGACTTAATGTATCAATCTTAAAAGGAAGCCTGATAAATGCAGTTTTAGGTTTTTGTCTCATCATATTTTGCCTATTTGTTCAATCAAAATATCTCTATGCTGACAACATTTGAAAAATTATGTTTAGCTCTGGAATTATGGAATATAGTTACTGCAACAGTTGAACAGATTACTAAATGGACTTCTAACAATGTCAAATGAGAAATAATTGAAATCTTTAATCAGAAAAGTGTCTATTTTACTACCTGTTCAATGTTTTAGGTGCTTTTTGTTTGCTTGTCTGTTTAACGAACACAAGAATATTAGAAACAAAAAGCAAAATGCTCACATATTTTCAAGATTAAACAGGAGAGAGAAAAAAAATCACATGCTTGCAGCAGCTACTTGGGGACATATCCCAAGAGATCTAGGAAGAGGGGAACAAGCCCTAAGAATTTCTATGGAATGCTTTGAAACTCCAATCATGTTGAATTAGGGGGAGGAGGTTTAAATTTAAAAAATAAAGAGGTGAGTGACATCTTTATGAATTAATAATTCATTCAACAAATATTTAGTGAACATCTAGCAAAGGAACTGTACTGACAGGATCTAGAAACTCGGCAACAAACAAGAGTTCTTGCCTTCACTGAACTTACATTCCAGAAAATAACTCAATTCATTATTTATTTAAAATCGTGATAGGGCCAGGGATTTAGCTCAGCGGTTCCACTGCCTGCCTTGCAAGAGCAAGGACCTGAGTTTATCCACGGTACCAAAAAATAAAAAAAATAAAAAAGTCGGGCATGGTGGCGCATGCCTTTAATCCCAGCACTCCGGAGGCTGAGACAGGAGGATAGCTGTAACAGCCTGGGCTACATAGTGAGTTCCAAGTCAGTTTCAACTACATAGTGAGACCCTGTCATTTTCTACCTTTAATAAATATGATCCCTCACTACCTTTTGCACATGTCTTGTTCAGGACAACAAAAAGCTAGAAAGAATCTCTGAAAAGAGCCCACAGCACCCCCAAAACCTCAGTAACAAAAAGATGAATCTTAATATTCAGTGACACACAATAGATGATTTGGTTGCCTGGGTTTGTAGGGGGAAGGTTGGAGGACCAATGGAATGGAGGACATGAAAAACTCTCTGGGGCTCTGGTTATATTCCAGCACCAGTGGCAGTGGTAGTAGTTGTGTATACCATGACGGGTATACACTTATTAAAATTCATCAAAATGTACATGTAAAATGCATGAATTAGGACTCATGATGGCTGAATAGAGATTCCCAACATTCACCTCCTCCACAACAAACCAAAGTATCAAGCTGCATTTTAAGGTGGGCTGCATTTTTGTATTATCCCATATCCCATAGAAGAACACTGGAAATCAGCAACAGAGAGACTAGAATCTTGTAAGATTCAAAGACTGGGGTTAACAGCAAAGAAATGCAAACAAAACACACTAGCATCTGCCATTCAAGATCAATAGTGGAGGGACAGAGGGAAAAAGATAAATGGGAGAATACAGAAAACTATCAAGTGTGGATGCTGTCAGTCTGAGCTACTGAGAAGTTTCACATTCTTCACAGTCCTTCACAGCCCACTTAGATCAGAAACCTGAAATCTGTATAGTAGCATTGTACCACATCTGACCACTCACTGCTGACAAGACTGGGTGCTTTGGTTTATACCACTGCCCCTCCCATGCAGCACCTGGGCATATATGACTGACTGGTTACAGAACAAATGCCTGAAGTTCCTCACTATTACTGGCACTTCCCAAGGCATTTCCTAAGTAGCACAGTACCTGAAAAAACTGATCACCTGGCTAGAGACATCTCTGTCTGAGTGGTCACACAGTGAGCACCCTATACACACTGCTATATACACCATACCTGCATGTGAAGCTGGAGTTTCAACACTTTTGCCTGACCTAAAGAGGCAGTGGGTCTCTCTAACTCACCACAGTATGCACTGTGCTATGGTCATTAATTACAGCCAAAGAAGATATAGTACCCAACTAGAAGCAAAGCAAATATTGTAAACAAAATGGACAACACAAGGTATGTATCTTCACAACAAAAAGCTGCTTACTAATAAAGTTACCCCAAGAAAGTGATAGAGATAACTGATCCACCAGATGTCAATGCAAAAGACACAGGAGGAAAAAAAATAATAAGTATAATGCAACTCCTCCAAAAGAACACAGTAACTTTCTAGCAACAGATCCTAAAGAAATCAATATGGATAAAATGCGTGACAAAACAACTTATAAGAATGATTATAAAAATAACTCAATGAAGCTGAGCATGGTGGTACACACCTATAATCCGAGGACTCAAGGCTGAAACAGAAGGATCGCTTTGAGTTCAAGGCCAGCCTGAAGTACAAAGGGAGATCCTGTCTCAAAAACCAAAAGGCTCAATGAGATCCAAGACAACAGAGATTAAAATCTTTAATGAAATCAAGAAGACAGTTTAGGACATGAATGAGAAATTCAGGATAAAGGTATTTTGAAATAGAACTGCACAAAAATCTTGGGAAAAAGCTGAGTAAGTCAAATTTTTTAAAAAAATACTACTAAAAGCCTCAGTAATAGATTAGCTCAAGCAGGAGAAAGAATACAGTATCTAAACTTGAAAAGAGGTTTTTTGAAATATCTCAGTCAGACAAAAAAGAAAAAGCAGAAAGAATGAAGGAAACATTCAAAACTTTTGGAATATCATTAAACAAAAAACACTGTATTTCAGTATTACATGAAGAGAAAAAAGCATAAGGGCACAGAAAACCTAGTCAATGAAACAACAGCAAAAATTTCCTTAACCTTAGCAAAGATGCAGATACCCAAACAAAGAAGACTTATAGGACCCGTAAATAAACATAAGCAGAAAAGATTTTCACAACAAAGTATTACAATAAAACTGTTTAAAGGACAAAACAAAGAATGAATTCTAAAAACTGAAAGTGAAAAGAACCAAGTTGTGTATCCTCCGTGAGACTAAGAACAGATTACTCAGCAGAAACACTACAGCCCATGAGAAAAAGGAATGACATATTCCAAGTGCTAAAAGAAAACAACCACTAACCAATACCACTATACTTACTAAAGATGTCCTTCAGAAATGAAAAGTAAAGAACTTCCAAGGCAAGCAAAAACTGAGCAAATTCATCATTCCCAACTCAGGTTTTAAAAAGAGATGCCTAATCAAGGGATGCTGGCACATGCCTGTAATCCCAGCATGCAGGAGACTGAGGAATGAGGATTACCATGAGTTCAAGGCCACCCTGGAATAGATATATAGCAAGACTTATCTTTAAACACACACACACACACACACACAAAAAAAAAAGATGCTTAACCAAGTCCTGTATATAGAAGCAAAGAAGGATAAATACCATTATGCAGCATGCGAAAGTAGAATTTCAGTAGAACAGTAAATACACAAAAGAGAAATAGAAAATAATTATCAATATAGCAAACTACTAAAGCACAAAGATGAATAATAGAGGAAGAACAAAACAGAGCATTAAAAACAGAGGAAATCAATAATAGGACAAAAGTAATTACATACCAATAAAATCTGGAATGCAAACAGAATATACTCTCTAATGATACACTGACCGAAAGGCTAGGTGAAAAAAAGCCAACAAATATGCTTCCTATCAGAAAGTTCTGCAGTAAAGATACACACACCCTGAAAGTATTTAAAAGTATTAAATGCTTTTCCATACACCAATAACAAATTTGCTAAAAAAGAAATCGTGAAACCAATTCCTCTCACTGTAGGTTAAAAAAAAAAAACTAAACACCTAGAAATAAACATGAGCAAGGAAGTGAAAGACCTCTACAATGAAAATTACAAAATAATGATGAAAGACGGGCCAGGTATTTAGCTTAGCCTGCCTTGCAAGCACAAGTCCCAAGTTCGATCCCCAAAACCAAACAAACAAACAAAAAAAAGATTTAGAGTCCATGAGAAAGTACCAAAAAGAAAGCAAAGAGATTAAAAATCGTATTGAAACTATGGGCAACAGAAATGACCAATATGAGAACAGTGTCAGAACTAGAAGATAGGAATGGTACAAGTAAACTTATACTGAGGTAACTTAAAAACAAGAAAACATGAAAAATGGATCTAATAACCACTGAAGAATACAAATATGACTACCCTAAGATTAATTAGAATTAGTGAAAAATCAAGACATCATAAATGGTATTAAAAAACCACTAATAGAAATAATAGCAGAAAACTTTCCAAATATGAGAAAGAGTTTAACATACATATGAGTGAGGCATACAGAACCCCAAATAGCCATAAGCTGGAAGTTCTCCATAACATATTATAGTCAAAATCCCAAAAATCCAACACAAGGACAAAATTTTAAAAGCTGCTGGAGAGAAGCAATAAAGTATTTATGATAAGCCCATCAGAATTACAGCAGACTTCTCAACACAAACTTAAAAGGACAAAAAAGCTTAGAGTGAAGTGTTTTAAGCCCCAAAAGAAAACAACAT